CAGGCTCCATTGCAATCTCCTCCTATAGTAGGAGCGAAGTTGACTTTTATTATGCCCTTTCTGAGCAAGCCGTATTACACCTCCAAGATATGCACAATGCACATATAAGGCTAGAAGACAACACACAGTTCACATAGTCATGCATGTGATTATTTACAATAATTTTTAAAAGCCCAGCACAGCTGGAACTTAAACTTAATTTCTTATGCTTTCTAGGACAAAGGACAGTTATCAACCCAAGTAGAGTTGATGAAATTTCTTGTCTACAATCTTTCCAGATAAATCAAACAAATTACATGAATAAAAGGTTACACAAATTATTTAAATATCTGAATAAAGTCTTCTGGGACCAATAAACATTTCTCAGTGATGAAACATAACAATAACAGTTTTATTTGTGTAGGTTATGCTGAGGTTCCCTTGGATTGTTCAAGAATAAAACAAAAAATAAGAGACTCTCGTGCAATAAGTATTTTTCCTTTGTTTAAATTAATATTTCACTACAAACTAATGGCATTACAGTTGCAAACATATAGTGTCCTGCATAAAATAATGTGTAGAATGTTTATAATAGCACAACAAATAAATATTTCTAGTTAGATTTCTATAGTATTGAATGGGTTTCATGAAAAAGATATAAGCCATTAAGTACAAACAGATTATAAACTCTTTGGGCCAGGATCTGTCTTTTTGTTGTGTATTTGTACAGCAACATCATAGGAACATGAACTTTAGGAATGACCTCAATCCAAATATATTTAGAATCTGTCCCACGTGTACAGAATATTGTTGAAAAATAAGGACCTGATTCCGCAACTTGGATACATGGAAACATCGCCATGGTTATCAATATGTGAAGATTGCACAATCAAGTCTTTGAAAGAGGAGATAGAAAAAGAGAACAACAAAGAACAAAGCCAAAGCTCTATAGTATCTCTTAGATATTTCCACAGACTTGGATATAAGTTGAAAAAAACAGTATTGTGCTACTTTGTCACAAAATTATAGATTTAAAGCAACTAAAATTCAAGACCTAGTAAATGAAACTATTTTTTCTTGTCCATCCCTCAGGACCACAATGTTATTACATAAGGAAACAGAGGAATAAGACATATTGGCTCAACAGCTAATCCTCAAAAGCTAATTATGTATTTTATTAAAAAAAACCACAAATCATCCAAGGATTGATTGTCTTTTAAATATATTGTTAATTTTAGTCTCAAAAATATATTTACAATATTTCTGTTTTGTATGCACAGTGACATCTAATTTTTATTATCCCTCAAAATGTACATATTTTTTTCCTGTCATTTTGTTGCCTTTTGGTTACCTTATTGGTTAAAATACCTCAACACAATTCCAGCATATTATAGATATAATAATTTTTATTTTTATAAATAAAAACTAAGCAAAGGGTTTTTATGGTGAATCAGGGAAAGAAATCTTTTTTTTTTTTTTTTTTTTTTTTTTTTTTTTTTTTTTTTTTTTTTTTTGAGATGGAAAACTTTCTCAGAGGGTTAAATGTAACAAGTAACTATACTCCTGGCAAAAACATTGACAGCGCAAAATAAATATACTGATATAGTCTAAACGACTTTTATTGGCAGCATATGTATAGCATAGACCAAAGGCATTCACTTTTATAGACTTTTCTGACCACAACAATGTCTCCATCAGGGTTTAAAGATATGAAGTCAGCCCTCAACCCCAGCTAATATCTGCTAGCTAATATGTTTCAAAAGTTACACATTGACAATTATGCCTTTAAATTGGGTTAAACTGATATACAGTAGATTTTTAAAATGTTAGCTACCACATACAGTATTCACATCACACAAACTCTATTCTGGACAAAGCCAGCTTCTTAAGAGGTCACACTCCAATTTCTATAATAGGTCACAAATCAGTGAAACAGTAGGGCCAAGATCTAATATTTCATTTAAGTGATTTAGTAGTCCAAACACAAGCCTAGGTGCCTAGGAATTCTAATGAGATATGGTCCAGAAATTGTTACTGAAAATGTATTCATTGAATAAAAGAGATATTTTATTAAAGATCATTTCACTGGAAAAAATCCCGCAACACTTCTACTCCATTTATCAGAAACAAGGGTATGTCTACACTACCACCCTAGTTCGAACTAGGGTAGTTAATGTAAGCAACCGGAGTTGAAAATGAAGCCCGGGATTTGAATTTCCCGGGCTTCATTTGCATATTGCCGGGCGCCGCCATTTTTAAATGTCCGCTAGTTCGGACTCCGTGCCCGCGGCTACACGCAGCACAAACTAGGTAGTTCGGATTAGGCTTCCTATTCCAAACTACCGTTACTCCTCGTGGAATGAGGTGTACTGGTAGTTCGGAATAGGAAGCCTAATCCGAACTACCTAGTTTGTGCTGCGTGTAGCCGCGGGCACGGAGTCCGAACTAGCGGACATTTAAAAATGGCGGCGCCCGGCAATATGCAAATTAAGCCCGGGAAATTCAAATCCCGGGCTTCATTTGCAACTCCGGTTGACTACATTACCACCCTAGTTCGAACTAGGGTGGTAGTGTAGACATACCCCAAGGGAGTAAGTAGGGAACTAAAAGTGGGAGCTAAGTAATTTTCTCTTCTGAAATAAAAATAATGCCATTGGAAAAATAGCAAATTTCATGGAATTTTTGACAAAAAATAAAAATGTGCATTTCTTTAAAAAAAAATGAGTTGAAATCTATTTACCTTTTAAACCAGCTCCAGTTCTAGTGTTGGCTTTGGCAATTACTCATATGGCTTTAACCTCTCTGCCTCATATATTCCATCTTGAAATTGCTCAAATACTTACACACCTAAAGTGATTGTTGCTGGATCAATTCTGAAGCATTTTGATAGTGCTAACTAATATTCAGTTGTGGGCCTAAGCTACAGAGTTTGGATTTGGATGCAAAGTTTTATGGTAGGTTGGATTGGCAGTTTGTGACCGAACAATCAATGTTTATACATTATTGTTCTTCTAAGACATCCTTTTGTGAGAGATGGCTAGAGGATGAATAGCCTTTAACTACAAATTAACAACAAAATAAGATTGCAACAAAAGAGTTGCTCTTGAAAGGGTTGATAAGACAATACTAAAATGGTGTGTTTCTAGACCCAATTAGCTCTCTTCAAGTTGCCTACAATATAAAGTAACTGATTTTGTGCTCCTCTGGTTACATCTCCACTTTGTCTTACAAAGTAGAGCCTCTTAGGACCTGATCCCACAACCCTCCTTCAATTATGTAATCCTTATTCATTAGAAAAATCCCATAGATTTAAATGGAATTATCTTCATGGGTACAAGTTGAAGGGCTGGGCCTTCAGCCCCTAACAGGATCAACTTGTCATGCATTAATTTATACAAATATTCACAATGCATGTTATGCTCATTTGTAAAGGTAACTATTTCAGGCAAAGCACCTACAATAGTCATGTTCACTAACGGTAAATTATTTTCTTGTTTGTAATGTGACCTTTGCTCTCGTAATAAATGCTGGGTGGACTCAACTGTGCCCTAATATTAGATCACTGAAGTCAATGGGAGTTGTGACACTAAATTCAATGGTAGCCAGAGACTTTCAAATAGGACAGAGAGCCTTATTCTAATCTGCACTAAGATCCATTTATGCAACCCTAGCTATGTCTTCATTGGGAAAAAGTGCGGGAGATAAGCCCTGTCACTGTAAAATCCTAGAAGAGAAAAGCACAGGTAGCTTTTACATCTCTATATATGTAGTCAAGTTCACCCTTATTAATCTCTTCCTCCAGGGTTTACCATGACAATCTACAGTTCATTAAAAACTAGAGTGCCTTTTCTCCACCAGGATTTTATATCTTACATTTTTGCAATGGAGATGTAGCCTCTGGCAATAGAATAGAGCTTTAAAGCAAGAATAAATGTAACCTGCTCCTACATGAAGGTCCCTTTATATGGAAAGGGGCCTTAGTGTTAACGAGAGCTAGGCCCTCTGTCCTTTATTTCACCACAACACAGGCACAAAGTAGTCAGAGATGCAAACTTTCTTCACATACCTGCCCCGTTTCCTCCACCTTGATTCAGAAGGAGAGCTGTTCAAACTTCATGTCCTTGGCCTTTCTGATGAAGCTTCCAGACAGAGCTTCATTTGTAAGTACAAGTTATTTTGTTTGTAATATGAGCACCTATTCTTTAGGAATAATACTGGGATCAGTTGCTCAGTTCGCAGCAGGCCACTGAACAATCAGATGCCAAGTTTTGCTTTCTACCAACCTAGACTCTTTCAAAAAATTGTTGATGACTGTGGTCAGAAGGCCCTATAGCCAACAGACTCTCATGTAAGCCATCTGAGCCTTGGAGACATTTATTAATAGAATGGCATCATATAGATGGATGAGAATCCCTGAATCCCAAAGTCCCATGTACAGTACAAGCATACAAATGTACAGCTTTAAAAAAATAACTTGCTCTTAATTGACTTGCATATGAATATTTTACTGACTAGAATAGCTCTTTACAAGTTGTGATGAAAGCATGTTATCTGAAATCCAATATATGTACATTAAGGAGAGGGAATAGAGGGGAAATAATCAATTCAGCAGCTTTCCTGAACAAGTGTTTTGCTGGAATTGGGAAGAGTCTCATACCAAAAGAAATAAATAAATAGATAAAATAAATAGATAAAATAAAAATAAAAAACACACAAAAAACAAAAAACAAAAGAAACCCACATTGACTGCACTACAACATATTTCTCATCCATGCAATGGGTAACACAATAGCCTCTTAACGGATTAATTGAGAGACCACCAATATGATCACAAAACATTTGGGAAGAACAGCTTTCTCCTGACCACCAAAATTTTGAAACTCTGCATATCTTCAAGGTACCATTGCCTGAGTAATGTAAATGGAAAATGGCCAAGATGCTGAATATGTTGTTTCTTTCTGATACACTTTCTACAAATATTAGATTTATAGCTTTGTAAATATAACTGTTAATTTACTTACATGTAGTGCTTGATCATGGGCCCACTGACTTCACTGGGAACTAGACTGGATTGTGGTAAAGTGTTCCAGCACAGAGGTGACTAAAAGGAAGTGATGGTGAATATCCGGTTGACTTAAAAATCCAGATAAATTAGGAATATTAAAGGATTAAACACCAATAAATACAAGCGCTACTCACAAGCAATGTCATAATTCTCGGCTCTTTCAAACCACTCTAATGGAGTAGCACTAAAAATGCATTCTACAGCTTCTGTTATGAAAATTTTGAAGTTTAAAAATCAGAAGAAAATGATGTTTCATTCTCATTGCTTAGTATATTGCAGTCAAGGTCTATAGCAAGCTTGATGTAAATAAATCAGCAAGGTCCCTTCATTCCTGAAGCACTTGGCTGTTAAAGGCTACAAGGATTGGGAAAATCTGCAGCAGCACTACATAGAGATGTTCACTGAATGAGGGGGTAAATGTTATAATCAGCATAATATTCTTTAATTTGATATTTTTACAACTATGCACTTCACTCTTTACCTGACATTTTGTATTGACAGCATGTAACTTAAATAAAAGAAATTGTTAGGAAATAGATCTGATCACCATCAGAGAGAAGTGAATTAACAATGTTGACATTTAAACTGTGGTTGCATTTGGTTGTCTACACCCCAATGAGATGCATAAGTGATATGTGCTTCCTGAGAGCTATATTTCCAGGAGGCTTAATACAGGCACCCCTACAGTTTTTCACTATGTTCACATTTGGCAAGTCATCTCTGCAACCAAAAGGCTTAAATTTTAAAGTTTAAAAAGGAATAGATGCTTACATTCTGTTACAAGATTCTGAAATGGAGGTGAATTCTGCACACTCTGTGTCTTCTAGTTCTATTACTTCACATTTAATTTTTAGATCTGATTAGGTTTAGTGTTACTACTAAAGAATTATTTGTAAAAATCTGCCTCCTTAGAAAATCTTGGCTCCCAGTTCTGTTGCTTCATGTTTGTACACTGTTGTTTTGGAAGTCCATGAGTAACATTTCCCCCACCCTGCCCCACTCCCCCCGCAACACTGTGTAAATCCTATGTGAAATTAAAGTCTTCCACTTCATACACCAGTAAAGCCAGGTCAGATTCAGGCTGGGGTTTACTTCAGAGGCTCAGCTAGCAGAACATTTACCTGAAGGCCAACACAAACCAAAACAAGATGTACTTGTTGAAGAACAATGGTTGTGATGCCTTTAAAGGCTGATTTTCCCAGGCAGCAAATTTGGGCAAGATTCTGCAACACAGCAAGTAGAAGCAGACACAGAATAAAGAGGGGAAGAATGGGCAAATAAAAGCCTCATCAGGGTGGAAATTCTCTGGAAAACAACTGGGAAGATTTAAACAGTGCTTCACTCTATATCTGCCAGCAAAAAGGAAGACTAGTCATTAGGCAGCCTTACCTCAGTCCATAACTATTTCAGATGCACTTGATAGGTTTGGTAGTTTTCAATTAATTCAGGAAGAGGAGGCTACCTATAAAACTGAATTAAAGAAATGTAAGGAGTACTGAACTCCACATAAAATATAAATATATGAGACCTGTTTCTAAACAGCATACAGAATGTAGAACGGTAGAAGAGCTTGTGAATTATTTAAAGCAAAAGAGCCCACGGTATAATAAGTATCAGTCCCTTGAATAAATCAAGAATAGATTTGTTTATGTTAGCTGGGGGGGAAACTATGCACTTCTTCTAGATATTTCTTCTCACTCTCCTGTGATAGAGTTACTAGAAGACATTTCAGCTAAACAGGTAGAAAACTATTTTTGCTAGACTGGCTATACCTACCATAGTGATGTTTCACAACGGGCTTCTGTTAAGTGGGCATGAGTTTAAGCAGTTTATAGTGGACTATGGTTTTATATGTGTAAGTGCTAGTCCCCATTATAGTTGATCCAATGGGTTGGTGGAAAATGGTGTCAAAATAACAAGTCTACTGAAAAAGGCTACAGAATCTGGCTCTGATCCATATTTAGTATGGAATTTGGAGCAGCAACAGCAAAGTATGAGTCATCTCCGGCTGACAATCTGTTCAACAGAAAACTGAAAACCAGAATGTTTTCACCGGAAGAAACTGTTGTCAGAGTCATTGGGGACTCGCAGATGTATAAAGAGACAGATAAGGCAAAACAAAAACTTAATATATATAGGAGGGAGGTCCTAGGAGCTGCCATTACTTCTAGAAAATGGTACTGTGCACATCTACAGCGAGAAACCTGGTCACAAACTGTGACGATGTCTCAAGACTATATGTGGTTGTCACCCCAGACAGATATGTACTGAAGAAGAACAGGTGACACCTACATTTACTCAGGCACATACGCACACCATAGAGCAGACATAAGGAATCGGGGACTGTAGGGCTGAAAGGGACTTAGAGAGGTCATTTTGTCCAGACCCCATGCTGAAGCATGACCGAGTGTACATAGACCATCCCTGATAGTTGTTGGTCTACTTCAGTGATGGAGAATCCACAGTCTCCCTTGGAAGTCTATTTTAGGCCTATTAATTGTCAATTTAGTTAGAAATTTTTTCCAAATATCTAGGAGAAACTTGCTGCAGATTAAGCCAGTTACTAACTTCTACCTTCTGTGAACATGGAGAATAATTGATCATATTGCCTCTTTATAACAGCCCTTAACATATATAGAGCCATTAAGTTCAGGTCAGGTTTTCTAAGCTTTTTTATCACATTTGTAGCTCTCTTTTGGGCACACTCCAATTTGTCAACCTCCTTCTCAAAGCATGGAGCCCAGAACTGGACAGAGCACTCCATTGGAGGCTACCCCAGTGCTGAGTAAGGGAGAAAAATCACCTCCTATGTCTTACATATTACATTTCAATGAATAATCTCCAGAATATTAGTATTTTTTGCAACAGCATTACATTGTTTGCTCATATGCAAGTTGTGATCCACTGAAATCCCCAGAACCATCTCAACAATATTGCTCCCACCCAGTTATTTTGTAGTTAAGCATTTTATATTTTTCCTTCCAAACTACAGTGTTTGTGCTTGTCTTTATTTAATTTTATCTTGATTTTAGACCAATTTTCCAATATAGTAAAGTTGCTTTGAATCCTAATCACGTCTTCCAAATGCAACCATTCCCAGAGTGGTGTCATCTACACAGTTTGAAAGCATACACTCCACTCCATTGCCCAATATTTTCATAAACAGCTTAACTAGTACAAGACATAGGACTGACCCCTGCAGGACTCCACTAGATACGTCCTTCGAATCTGATAACTACACTTTCAACAAATTATGAACTCACCTTATAGTAATTTCACCTAAGCCATATTTCTCTAATTTTCTTCTGAGGATGCAGGCCTGATGAGGTGGATGGTGGGGGGAAAGAAAGCAAGTGCCCCAGGGCCCAGCGACTACAGCAGCAGCAGCAGCAGCTGGAGGACCGGGCCCTTTAAATCACCGCCGGCTGGCTGAAATGGCTGAGTGGTACACTCGAGGCAGCTCTGAAGGTTGGTGGAGAGGGAGAGTCAAGGCGTGGGGTGGGGCACTCCAGACCAGTAGTCCCCAACCTTTTGGGGCTGACGGGCGCCTGGGGGTGGGGCCGCGCACACGCCGGTGCCGGCGCCATCCATGCACCACACTGCCGGGGTAGACGCCACTCCTGTGTCGCATGCCCAGGAGTTGGGCTGCCCATACGCCACATGCCCGGGTCCGGTGCCATTCCTGTGCTGCGTGCCCAGGGGCAGGGACGCCCATACGCTGCGTGCCCAGGGGCCAGCACTGTCCATGCGCCATATACCTGGGGGCGGGGCTAGGGCCGGCCCTGATCACTCGGTGGGCACAAAGAAATGGCATGGCGGGCGCCATGGCGCTCGCGGGCACCACGTTGGGAACCACTGCTCCAGACCATCCCTTTCATACAAGGCCATGCACCTTTTAGGAGTGTGGACACAGGCCACCCCACTCCTTCTTGCCCATGGTCCCAGCAAGTCTGTCAGCTCATCTGTGAGGAAGTCACCTGGGACTAATGAGATGGGATTGTCAGACTGGCAATGGAAGGAACTCCATGGCTCATAACGTGAAGCTTTGAGAGCCACTGTCAGATTTATTGCAAATACACAGTTGTTTAGGCATTTTCACTGAATGGTGTATATTTCTTCCAGGCTGAATTTGCTGAATAGGCATGCTATTAAAATAAGGAACCAATTAAAGTAGCAAGAATCTCAAATGTGACAAAATACTGAAGAAAAAATACTGACACTGAAACCTCTATAGTAAGAGGTCAAGTATTTTGAACCCTGTTTGCCAAACCCAGCCTCATATACAATTTTCCTGTCATGAGCTGCAATACAAGAAAGCTGAATAACTCTTCAGAAAGCCCTCAGAGGAGGAGACAATATTTCCTGATTTTATAATATAGATCTCCAGGGGGCAAGACTAAGGAGCTAATTTGTTCGGCTATTCTCTTTTGTGATTATTCTGCATCCCAGAACTGCATATAAAGAAGTTAGTTAAAAATACTATTGTCAGCTTTGCTCACAATTGTCCTGCGAGTCAACTTGATTTTCTGATGAAACAGCAAGCTAAGTGGAGCACCTCTGTAAGCATAAACACAGCTAAATCTCCAATTTATTTAGCTATGGGGCAATGTTTAGTTATTGATCTAGCAATTCTTAAGTTAGCCTTACCAACACTGAACTCCTTTCCTCGTGAAGGACCACAAAATCAGCATATAACTAAACAAAGATTCTTGACGTCCTAAATGTTTTCTTATGAGAAAATAAGAACATTATGTCACAGCTAGAAGGATACTGCAGAGGAACATGAACAGCTGTGTGCAGAGACATTCACCTTCCAAGATCTACAGAGCTACTATCAACATGAATCCCCTTCTGATATCTTGCATGTCATCTTCTGTGTATGCCCCAGATACTCCACCAGTTCTGTGAACTAAGGGAAAACATATAGGCTTAGCAGCTCCAAAAAGAATGGCAAAGTGCAGTATTTTCACCTATGTATTTTTACATGGGTGGGGAGCATATGGGCCAAGGGGAATACAATGTTTGCCATGAAATATGT